CACATAACACGCAATAAATCGATTATGATATGGCATCACTCTATTATTCACCAACAAAGACACCAATTGATGTTATCTCTACTACCACTTATATACAAATAAAACAAAAAACATCTGCTGATGTATCTATCATCTTTACAACTTCTACATCCTCCTTCATTCTGCAACAAATAATTCAAGCTAGTCGTTAACTTTTCCATGGGAATGATATTGGTACTATGAGTGAAATTGACATCTAATTGTTCAAAACATAATGTTATACAACATATCAATTGATAGATAAAAACCTTGACTTTCTATTGGTTATAGGTAATATATATAATGAAACATAAGAGAGAACTATCAATGAATTCTGAAAGAGAGGATGTGGCAGGAGGGGGTCTGATTCTCTATTTGATAGCTCTGTAACCAATCAAAATTGAAGACTATTTAAATTATGGTTTGTCTGAGCAATAACCATCTTAGAGAGTAATATATGTTTAATTTCACAATTTTTCGACAGATGATGGATAAAATAAGGATGACAACATGCTAAGGAGAAAATGTGTCACGTGGTTCACACTAGTGGAAATTCGGGATTTTTTAAAATATTGTCTTGTACAATTAAGAAATTAAAACTTGTAATACTATTAAAATATGGATTACTAGCTAAGATTTTATACTATTCTAATTGGTATATATAAACAAAAGGTAGTTTAATAAAATTTTGAATGTAAGACACTAAAACTTGTGTCATGTGCAGTAAAGGATACCCGTGGCGACAGGGTTAATAAAATCCTGATAAGATAAAAAGTGTTTTGTAGTTGGTACATCCCAGGCTATCAAGTGTGTTCCAGTGATTGAAATTTATAGTCAAAAAACAACCCTTATGGATACCCATCTGTTGATACAAGTACCGTTTGTTCACAGAAAAACACCCACGTAAAACTTTTTCCCATCCATCAATTATAATTTCTTTCTCACAACCACTCTATTTAAAGTCTTTTCTTTCAACTAATAAAATCTTTTTTTCACTTTATTGTATTTTAAACATAGAAACACAAAGTACCACATCAGGTAAAAGTTCTAAATGAAAAAGTAAAATTTTGTTTTAATAATTTTAACACTTTTGAAAATTCTGTACAAAAAAAAAACCCTTAACATTGGCCAACATTAATTTTTTTAGGAAATATACATAACATGAAAATGTATAATTTTATGCACTTGAATTATCCTAAGCACAAAAACTTGAAAGCTTCTTTCTTATCGTGTTAGCCATGCCTTTTTTAATTCTCTTTTCTTAAAGTCTATTTAAATGAAACTAATAACAGTGATGTTTTTATCTTGGCATTTACATTATCCAGTGACAAGACTTACCTGCCATCCTGGTCAAAAGGAGCTATGCAGAAAACTCCTTTGCTAAGTCTTGTCTCCTTCTCTAACTTTCCTTCAGTAACAAGCACGTTGATATCATTCACTAAATCCTCGAGACTAAAATAAATAAGTTTGTGAGTTTTACTGTTAAGATTACATCACAACTCCTTATTAATACAAGCACCCTTTAAGTAGACCAAAGCCTAATGTCACAATGAACTTGGTTCAGTGATATAACTTGCATCAAATACAAAGATATTCATATTGGTCATATATATATAGATGTGTACACACATCTACAGACACAACTGTAGAGTATACCTTATATTACCTAAGGCACACAGTAAAAGTCTCAAGGATGTTACAAAGCAGTGTATATTATTCATTTTTCATTCCTATTAATTATACTTTTCTTGGATTTCATTTCAGCTGTGCCAAAACTTCTTTTTAGTAATGAGTAAAGTAAAGAAAAATATAAGTACATATTCACTACCAGATACTACATAGAAGCCATGCTCAACAACCTATTTATTATTTACTCTACAAAAGGCCTACACAATATATCATCAGAAATGGAGAGGCTGGGTGGGAAATGAGAGAAGAGGTAAGTATCTATCAGAAATACATTTTCAGTGTAGAAAAATGTTAACTTCCAATATAATATCTTACCTCCACTCACAAACTAGCTAAAAAATATGATCTCTCTTTAGGAAATGCACAAAAAAAGACCAGGAAGTGTGGAATCAAAAGAGAAAAATCACACTTCAGTGGGAAACTGCACCTCATGTGATCCACATATACTCTTTGCTCTTTTATGATAGTGTCGTGAACATAAAAGGCAGAAACATGAAAGAATCCCAGAATATGTATGACCCATGAATGGGACTCCTGGGTGTTGAGTGGCTAGAGCATGACAGGCTGTAGTGGTAGTTCAACCTCAACCAATACCAGGAGGTATGTGGTATGGTACCTCAGATCAGTGGTAGGTAGAGAAATGCCTACCCCTTCACCTCAAAACAGGAATTGATAGGGACGATGGGCTTCCTTACCAATATCAAAATAGGAATTGGTAGGGAAGATGGGCTTCCTTACCAATATCAAAATAGGACTTGGTAGGGAAGACAAGCTTCCTTACCAATAGCAAAATAGGAATTGGTAGGGAAGACGGGCTTCCTTATTACCAATATCAAAATAGGAATTGTAGAGAAGACGGGCTTCCTTACCAATATCCATCACCACTTGCATGCATTTCCAACCCAACTTGTGCTGCATCCAGCTACAACCAACACCAGATCTACTGGGAACCAACATCTAGCAGATGGCATGAAGAGAGACCTCAAAGCTGGGGTGCATCTCCAGTTTAAAACCTGGCACAAGTGGACATTTGTCATCCAGTCTGTGGTAGGAGAAGGGAAACTGGCCAGCACCCACGTGAGGACTTACTTAGCTTGACCTTCTGCAAACAACACTGAACCCCCTGGGAATGTACATCAGGAGGAGGAACATCTCAGCCTGAGGGCAAACTGCAATTATAGAGATATTATATACATTTATTTATTTATGACATGATGGAGTGCTTCAACCAAAACCTGTTGGCATCTGGAATTGATCATCAATTTTGCAATAGAAAGGGCGTTACACCATAGAAAAAAATCGGTCAGATATATCGACAGAAATATATGTAGTGCAGCAACCAAAGCCAGGCAGCATCTGGAATTGTACATCAGGTCCGCGGTAGGAAGGGCTACAATGTAACTGACAACAAGCATGGTCGATGGATGGACAGCGCAGATTTTCCAAAAAAAAGTATACTTGGTCAGATACCAGTTGCCACAGAGTGGGATCCAGAGCAGTATCTGGAATTGTACATCAGGTCTGCGGTACAAAGGGCCACAATATAACTGACAACTAGCATGGTCACAGGAAGGAGAGTGGAGATTTTCCAAAAAAAAAGTATACTTGGAAAGGCACTGCTTACCACAGAATGGGATCAACAATATATAAGGAAGGAGGTCCCTCAAACGTGAGAAAAAAAAAGCAAACTCGCACAATAACAAAGCACAAAAATTTAAATAAATAGTAAAGAAAAATGAAGTCAGTAATATAACTAAAAACATCAATAAATCCTAGAGCAAAAACTAACACATCTCTACAGTACTACTGTCAATCTCAAAGTGATTAATGAGTGCAGATGTGAAGTAGGCACTGGTTATGATACGAGTGGTGTCATGCTCCTATTGGTGGAGAGCTGCTGCATGATCATTTTTATGTGGGTATGCAGAAGCAGGAGGTAGAAGGCTAGTGGCATGCAATTAAAATTAGTGCCGATAGAGGGCAGTGTTAGTCAAGAAAAGCTATTTTGTGAAAAGAGGTAAGATATTGCATCAGAACTGCTTAAAAACTACACTATGGTATAAAGAAATATTAATAAATAATCTAATCATTATAGAAACACCAGTATCTTTGCTGATGAAATAATACAAGTTACTCAAATTTTAAAAAATGTGTTATAATACTACATACAGTTTTAAAAGTAAGAGAAAATTTTGAAACATACCATGATATAATGTTTGCTTTTTGCACAAAAAACATGTGGGGTGTGTGGACAACAGAGACGTAGATATCTTGGTAAGCACCCAATTCTAAAAACCCATGGGAAAGTTCAGCTTTAGGGTAGTTCTGTTGTTTGTACAGTGGTTTGGAATCTATAACAAACAATGTAACACAAACTTAACGATAAGATAGTTATTTAACATGTTAAGATGATTTGAAAAATATATTTGTTCCTAGGAAAACACCCATTCATGTTTCCTCAAAACTTTACGTGATTGTTAATCACTAGAAATGGATAAAATAAATTCATATTTAGAATTTCACTGAGAGAGAAAAATACATTCAATTAAAACATTTCATGAACTACAAATAAATAATTAGGTAGAGGTTAAAACAGATATTAAGGTACAATCTATAGGAGTAAATAACATCAAATATCTGTTTACGTTTTAAACACATTAAATCACAATACAAACTGTCTACTGTAGAAAAAAAAAATTATAGTCTGTATGTGACTGTAAAGTTTATTTCTTGACAATGTGAACATAAACATAACGTACACTGAGAAAACATCTATTTTTATGGAAAGCTGTTTCTCCTTTAACCTCTTTCAATGAACGTCTCAAATTCTCCAAATTTATATTGCGAAATATAACTCTAACGTGTTCAAAACAAAGACAAAAAGACAATTCTAACAGCACCGTTCATAATGTATTGTTCTCAAGCCCACAGACAGGGTGGGTGGGAGCAACTGCCCAGGGGCCCAGGCAAATGAAAAGTGGTTATGCCATAAAGCCCGCAAAATACCTTTATGCTATACATTCATTTAATCATGAAAGGCATAGGTTTTACTTTTCTTTGCATATAGATGCTTGATACATCAAGAATGATTGAAATAATAATTTGAGTAATAATTAATATGTATTTGTTTCTTTATAGATTTCATAGATATTTGTTGTTACTTTAT